ATGGACAATAAAATCTGTAACCTTTAGACCTTTCAGCATATCCATTGAAATACCCAGTAATGGTCCTTGGGTCCAGCTTCTTCTCTTGTGGATTATAAATTCTCACCTCAGACGGGCATCCCCAAACGCGCATGTGTCGCAAACTCGGTTTCCAACCTTTCCATAATTCAAATGGCGTTTTAGGAATAGTCTTGGTTGGAACTCGGTTCAATACAAGGATTTAGGAAGATTGGAGCTACTAAGCATACTCCGCACCATGTCCAACAATGTTCGGTTTCTTCTTTCTGCTACACCATTCTGGTCCAGTGAATCAGACATGTTGTATTGGGCAACAATCCAATGCTTTTGAAGAAACTTTGCAAATGGCCCAGGTGCTTGTCCATCCTCTGTGTATCTACCATAATATTCTCCACCTCTATCTGATCTCATGATCTTAATTTGCTTACCACATTGTTTCTCTCTTCAGCCTTAAAGATTTTAAAGGCATCTAATGCTTCGTACTTGTTATGAAGCATGTAGAGATACAAATATCGTGAGTAATCATCTATAAAAGAGATGAAGTATTTCTGACCATGTGAGTCCATGTCTGGACTACATATATCAGTATGTATGATATCTAATATGTCCGAACTCTTATTGGCACCTTTCTTTGACTTGTTGGTCTGCTTTCCCTTTATGCAGTCCACACAAGTCTCAAAATCAGTAAAATCCAGAGTATTAAGTACTCCCCTTTTTACTAATCTTTTAATTCTATCTATGGAGATATGACCTAATCTCCGGTGCCATAATTTAGAGGAGTCCTCATAAATAACACATCTTTTAGCGCCAGTGTGAACATGCATTGAATCATAAGTGGCATTGTTTTGTAAATTAATGCAGTAATGACCATCAGACAAAGTACCATTCCCAACACAATCAGATTTATAAAGTAAGCTGAAGGATGAATTTGAAAAATTAAAGGAATATCTAAAAGGTACAAGCCTTGAAACTGAAATCAAGTTTCTAGAAAAACTTGGAACATAAAAGGTCTTTTCTAACTTTAAAACAAAGCCACTACTTAAAATTAAATAGCAAGTTCCTACAGCTTCTACATGCGAGCCCATCTTGTTTCCTAATAAGATGCTTCGCTCACTTCCCATTGGCTTCCTTAGGTTTTGCAACCCCTGCAAGGAATTTAAAATGTGGATTGTTGATCTAGAATCAATCCACCATGTGTTAATATTTACATTAACCATATTAGATTCATAACAAACAAATGAGGTTAGATTACCTTTGTCTGCAAGCCATTTATAAAATTTGGCGCATTCCTTCTTTATGTGTCCCTTCTTTTTACAGAAGAAACACTTAGAATCTTTCTTGATACCACCTTGGGGAGGCATTTTACCTTTCCCTTTCTGATTGGCTTGATATTTTCCCTTTCCATGCATTGCCAGCATTGCACTTTCTCCATGTTCCATCACCAGTCTCCTTTCCTCTTGAACACACATGGTCATAAGTTCATTAATTGATCATTTATCCTTATGTGTGTTGTATGAGATTTTGAAGGGTCCATATTGGTGCGGAAGGGTATTCAGGATGTAGTGCACTAGGAAGGAATCCGACATTTCAACCTCGAGATTCTTCAATTGAGCCACAATATCCCTCATTTGCATGATGTGCTCGCGCACACCTCTCACATCAGTGAGTCTTAAGGATGAGAGCTTCATGATTAGGGTGCTTGCTAGTGCTTTATCTGAAGTGACAAATTGATCATCAATGGCTTTTAGCAAGTCTTTGACCTTTTCATGCTGATCAACAGAACCATGGATACTAGCAGAGATTTTAGTCTTAATGAACATCATGCTAAGACGATTAGATCGCTCCCATCGTTCATAAAGTGCGATGTCCGTTGCAGTGCTAGTATCAGTGAGTGCTGGTGGTTCGTCTTTCCTAATAGAATAGTCTATGTTCATCCACCCCAAATGAAGAAGAACTCTTTCCTTCCAGACCTTATAATTATCTCCCTTAAGTTCAGGGATATCATAACGAATATCAGAGAAATTTGTAGGTTGTATGACTGCATAAAATTATAGATTACATGCTTATGTTAAAACTGAGGCCTAAACAAAATATCATGTTTTACCAATGTAAATCATGCTTAAAAATTGAATCTAATTGACATAAAAATTGCCTGTGGGCTAAATTTCTAATTCAAGTAGATTCATTTATTCTTTATGATTAAACTTTATGATAAAACTATCAAATTATTTACTAAATTCATAATTCCTGTGGGTAAATTATGAATAACTTGATATTTTATCCTAATTAATAATATAAATACAATAAAAATTCCTGTGGGAAAAAAATTATTATATTAAGTATAATTAATTACAATTAATGTCTAATATTCTTTATGTAATCCTAATCAATCATAATATACAATTTTATTTAATTAAAGATGCTGTGGCTATTCTCTAATTAATTAAAATTATATGGATCACCAGACATTAAATCCCATAAAGACTAGCTTAATATTACGAATTACATAATTTTAACAATTACTAATATGTTATTATTATGCACAAAATATTCTCATAATATAAGCATAAATATTGCATAATTAAAACTATAATATTATGCATAACATTTAATATTATGCCTTTGACTAAATATATACTCATCCAAAAATAGCATGTATTAATATAGAGCGTAAATAATCAATTCATGCAAACTAAATATGAGCATATATAATAAATAAATTTGCACAACAATTATCCAAATTGCATATAATTAAATCAAATAAAAATTATAAGCACAACAAAATAGCACAACAATTACAAGCACAAGGGGCGAGGCCCAAAAAACCCACTTCACAAACCAATTATCCAAATTGCATTAAATGTTGTTTTTCCCAATACGGAATGAAGGCTGCCTCAACTAAATGACATGTCGTTTCGTCCCAAAACCAAAACTACATGTCGTTTTGGTTGTCTTCAATCTCCATACTAGGTTGCAGATCATGCCCTTTTTTGTCATAAAAAAAACATATTTTTTAATCACAGAAAGCTTAGAAAAACTATTTCCACATGATTTCTAATCTTCTTTCGAATAAAAGGTCTAGAAATCAGAGATAAACAAAGCATCATTCCAACATCAAGGCAGAGATAAAATAGGCTCTGATACCAAATGTTAGCATAAAATACGATTCTATAATGCGGAATAAATACTTTAAAACAGAATTGAAAAGCTTAATGCCAAAGAAATAGTACCTCCAGTCATTGATGTTCCTCACGGTTTTTGCTACGATCTCTTACTGATGTTTGGCACTTTCAAACTCTACTCACTCTATTTAGATGGTGTAAGACTGAAGGGGATTGAGTGATTGAGTCTAGGACCAAACTGTTGTATTTATAGCCAAAGCTTCCATCGAGCTTCGGCAGCTACGTGTCCCACTTGTTCAGTTTATCATGGGGCAGTTCCACGTTCTACGAACGTGATGAATATCCGAGTGGACCACTTAAGGAAGGGGAGCTGGAGACTCGTTCTTACGAACGGCCTCCGTGAGAAACGGTCAACAAAAGGAGTTTAATCAACGCTTACACTTTGCAAAGAAGTTGACCCAAAAAATAAATCCGGGGGAAATATGAAAAATTGTTGTTATTAAAAAGCACTTCTTGAAGAGAAATCAACCTAGCAAGAGTTGGGATAGGCCCACTCTGTTTGTTCTTCATCACCTCAAGTATAGTCAGTGAAGTTAAGTTCCTAATGTGCGGTGGGAGAGTTCCTTTCAGGCCTAGTGAACCGATTTAAATCTTGGTGATCTGATTCTCTCTTCCATCTCTACACTCTGCTTTTCTACATTGTTTGTTTAGAGATGAAATTTTCTGAGAAATTGTGAACCAGAATATAGAAAAAAATTTAAAGAGGGAATTTTCCATGAAAAAATATAAGGGAAAATAAAAAAAGGGGAAAAGGAAAAAGAAATAGAAGAAGAGGAAGAAGAGACGGGAGAGAAAGAAGATAGAGGAGATAAAAAAGTGGAGAGATATTTTTTTAGAAAATCAATAATAAAAGAAAAAGAAAAATAATAGGTTTTTATTTTCTTATATATGCAAAACGGAGAGAAGATTGAGGGAGAAGAGGAAGAGAAGGAAAAGAAAGAGAAAAGACTAAAGAGAGAGGGCAAGTAATGTGAAAAATGGTGATGTGGCAGTTAGCACCTCTCTTTGTACTTCTAGTATTTCTCATAATACATTGATCGGACAAGGTAGTTGATGATGAAAATGGGTTTTGTGTTTTTACTATAACATAAGACAAATTAAGTTAAATGATTTTAATATAAAATAGAGTTAAAAGTCTTGTATTTGATTTTAACTCAATTCAATCTTTTTTACATATTTAATACAAAACATTATAAATATAGAATTATAGAGTGATGTCTACATTTAAAAAATAATAATTGTGAAACCCATTTATAGATGTTTTATTATATTGAAAAACAAAATTTTAATTAATCTTTATAATACTAAAAATTTGTAAAAAATTATCTTTTAATGTTTCCTAAAATTTGGAGCCTTTTCACATTTGAAAATCTTTTTTTGTAAAATCATATAAAAATGAATAAGCGTTAATGCATAATTCCTGTGAGATTTCATTATATAAATATCTGCACCAGGTTTTAGAATTAACAAAAATTCTTCTATCATTAGTGAGTCATCAAACTTTTCGGTTTAAAATAAATGAAAAAAGGGTATTTATGTCAATATTCTTATGATTTAGCAATAAAAATTCCTTGGAGACTTCATCAAATAACAAAACTACCCTTAAAAGTTTAACGGCTTATCAACAATATGGAGAGTTTTGTTTTGTTATATATGAAGTCATAGCTCATAGGGGGATGTTTGTTGTTAAACTAAACCTTGGGGTTCAATAGAATAGTTGCATTGGCAACCCGGTGTTAAAACTTGTAACCTTATCTTTAAACCTGGCCGTATCCACGAATCAAACACACTCAATATAAAATTTGTGTAGCTTCTGCTCAACATTAAATCTGAAGATAGAATTTCAAGATGAGGCTCCAGGCTATTCACAGCTCTTATCCGTCCATGTTCCTGCTGTTTTCACGCTTGAACACGGCCTCTCTTTGCAGCTCTACGGCCATGAACTTCACCGTTAACGAAGCTTTGTTAAAACTCAGCAGCAGACAACAAATTTTGATGAGAAGCACTTGCTGTGGTGCGAGGAGGAGAGTGAGATATGAAGAAGATGAAGAGGAATATGGGTACAAGGAGGAGATCGCAATGCTGGAAATTTATTCTCAGTCGGCAAGAGGAGAAGCGCTTCTTGTGAAAGCTCTTGTGGATGAGCAGGAGGTAGAAGTGCTTATTTTCAGGGTGAGTCCATTTTGATCATAGTTTTTCTAATTCTGATTTTTTCAGCATATAATTTAATTATGTAAAATTTCAGGGATTCTCTTCTAGCTTGAGTGGTAGGACTTCACCAGATCCATCAAGAAGTGTGGTTCCAGCAAGAGCAGTGATAAAATCTATAGACAGAATCAAAGGGCCTTTTGATCCTTCTAATGTTGAGTACATTGAGAAAGACATTCAATGGGAGGCCTTTAAGCCACGTCTTCCTCCTCTTTCATAAATTACAATATATATTAATTAATATTTTGTATATCATTTAATTATTAATCAATATTCTTTCTCTTCAATTGATCTTTAAATTAATAGTTTCCAAATTTAAGCTTACAAGCCAAACCTTGAAATAAATTGTAATGAGCTTTACAGATTCCTGTTAATAAATTGTCTGATAACGAGCTTTAAACACAAACATATAAAAGTGTTGGCTGTTCAGCTCCCAAGATCAATTGATAGTTTGTCAGTGAGACAGTGAGGTTCAGATTAGCAATTTTAATGCCTGTTGTGTGATTGAGTGCAAAGGATAAATAAACAGATGAGTAGAGGAAGAAATCTTGATAAAGATTAAGTTTTATTTACTAATTTTTTCTTGATTGACTTTTTGTTTGACTTTTTAGGGTTTTATGAGTGCCATTGAGATTTTCTTTTTTAATTTTTATTAATACACGTACGAAGAAATCTTATGAAAAAAAAATTATAAAAATGATGTGTTAAAAAATGAATGAAAGAGTGAATACAAAAAGCCAAATTTATTATATTCACCCTTCTATTTATTTTCTATTACATCACTTTGTATAAAAATCTTTGTAAGATTTATTTATACGTGTATTACTCTTTAATTTTTAAACTATGATGATAAAATTATTTGGTAACTAGCTTTCAAAACTGATTAAGTTTTAACTTGGTTATATTACAATAAGTTTTATGAAAAGATGCTAAAGGATAATAATAAAAATCTATTTATTTTTAAAGCTGATCTTGGTGAAAGAAAGATGCATGGAGAATCAAGCATATCATACTATAACAAGTATAGTCATAGTTTAAAAAATAAATTTCAATCAAATTGAAATAAGTAAGGTAGAACATATTACCTTAAGCCCTTAGCAACCTTGGAGCCTCTTAATTTCAAGAGAAATTAAGCAAAAGAGTATCCACACCAAGGGAAGAAGAAATTTGACCAAGAGGGAGATTTAGGGTTCTTAGAGATTTTTCTCTCTCTACACAAAAATTGATATATCATTTTCTTTATATAGGAATCCTTGTAAACAATTCAATAATTGTTTTGGACTTCCATAAACAATTCCATAATTGTTATGAAGTTGTTAAACTTCTTTAAATGATAACATTGGATTAACATTTAATCACAATTAACAATTTAACGCTTAAATTGTTTACATAACAATTTAACCCTTAATTGTTTACAATTACAACCCCTTGTAAAATCCAATTTAATATAAATAATTTTATTACCCTTGGTAGGTGCTAGCTAACCTTGGATAATCAACTCTCTTTGGCTATTTCTCCATTCTCCTTAGTTTTTATGTGTGACCTCTTAGGTTCACTGTGGCCTAGCCGTGGGCCCAATATCACAGTCTATTTCGATATGTTTTGTCATAACTCTTTATGAACAAAACTCCCACTGATTATGGTAGGCATCTAGCAATGCTCCATAACCCCTAAGTCACAATGAAGATATACTCCAACGAACCTTTTACAATCATACATGTTGTATAATCAAATCCTTCCGTTGTCTAATCCCAATTAAGAATGGATTCATGGTATGTCAAAATCCTTATCTTAATTTTAATTCAATACATATGGAACGTGTCACCATGAAACAACCTTTCATGTAACATTTTATATACCCCGGCCGGAGATTTCCCTTTTCCAATGTATCTTGACATTTGTCTAGGAACTTGATATCAATCTATACCAAGTCAACGGATCCCATCTTGACTATCACTTGTCCTCACACATAAACAACACATGGCCAAATCGGCTTATTAACACATGGCATGATTAGCCTCATGTTTATACACCATATGAACCATATGCATTTATGCAGAATCCAACCGTGATATCTCAGGTCTAAGGATTAATAATACCCTAGTACGATCTTATGATAAATCATTGACTACATTTTAAATGTCCATGTGATTCATCATAAATGGCCATATTCGATAAACAGTTCACTAACCGCGTATCCATGCTAATGCCCTAGTGATATAACTTTTATAATCACCCACACCAATACCATCACATGATATTCTACGGAGGCATTCAGCATGCCTACTATGTAATATTATTGCCCAATTAATATTACCTATGTAGGGAATACTTTGATGATTTTGATATTCTAAAGATTTGTATCATCCGGACATTTCACATGTAATACATATATATAAATGAAGTAATAAGCCACATGTGAAATAAGAACACTTTCTTCTATTGATAAGATAAAATGTATATACAAACTATATACATTCACATATATATACAAAACATAATGCCTCGGAACCGATGACACGATTGGTTCCTAGGGCATATACTAACACTTGGATGTGTGAAATCATAAATATATCCCCTTTTACAATATATAAAATTATTTATTTTATAAAAAATTATTAAATTATATTACTATTAGTGCCAGCATCAAACTATCACTTCCAACGCCGCTGAAACACCGCTAGTGATCACCGATTTCGGCGACACCGACAGTGTTACCATTATTTGTGGCTTGTTTTCTTATTTGTTCTCATGTGAAATTGTATATCTTTTGAAATACTATTTAATAAAAAATACAATTGTAAATAGGAATAGAATTTAGAAGTCCTATTAAGAATTGAAATATGAATCCTATTAAAATAGATTATCTTATATCCTACCTATAAATATAGGGGTGATAACTAATTCAAGGTTATGAGAGAATGTGAGAATACAAGATATTTGATGTAAGAATTATTAAACACCACGGGGAGAATGTCTTAAAAATTGAGATCATTTTCACTTTAGGCATTGGATTGAGCGTGGTTAGAAACTAGAATTATTTCTGCTCTGTTTTATGTACTGGGTTTATGGTGTTATGTACTCTTGTATATCGTGTTCATAAAACTATAGTGGATTTTTCTCATCCGTAGGTGTAGGCGAGCTATGCTGAACTACGTAAATATTCTGTCTTTTTGTGTAGTGTGATTTTATTTTTATATTATTTATCTCAACTATATGTTTTTTTGATATGAACTCCACCAACAATTGTGATGAAACCCAATAACAATGATGGATTGAAACCCAAGATCGTGAAGATAAGATTTGTTGAGTCTTGACCCGTCACCTAACAAGATGAAAATCAAGACTACGAAGGATTGAAACGCCACACCAAGAAAACCTAAGAATTATCTCAAGAATTCAAGGAGATAAGTTTGGTTGTTTGAACGCCACAAGATTAACTTGATAAGTTCAAGAGTTCTTTTTATGAACAAAGAGGAATACAAGACCTTGAATAACCAAATCTGCCTTTAAAATTCGTAATACCCATCTATATACTTGGAACAACCCTCCAAGAATAGACAAAGTCATAATTACAGCTTTAAAAACAACACAAAAATTAACCTAAACATGTCCCCACGTTTTTTAGGACTCTTGGACTTCTAGAGACAGCAAAAAATAGCTAATGCAAATTCAGCTCCATTCCCACTTGTATGATTAACATGTCCAGCTCCTTGGTTTGCATCATTTTTGCTATGCGATCTCCTAAAAAGTGGTATGAGAGCTCCAAGTTGCGACTTGGGAGATGAGTTCTTTCGAGATAGTGGATGTACATAAAAGACAGACTACAACAGGTTTAAGTTGTAGGTGGAGTGATTCTTAAATCTTGGTGGCAAAATTTGGCATGGTTACTGAACGACTTGGATGCTAGCAAAATTGGACATGGTTACTCTATGACTTGGATGTCGTGATGGTGGCGTTATCTTTGTCATTGAAAGAGTTTGTCAACTCTTTATGAAGCACAGCAAAATGATTATGGATGGGTGTTACACAAAGTTCTTTGATGATCATAAAACAACCAAAATATCAATCAACCTTGAGCATATACATAAAGCACACAAGGAGATACATGGTTTGACTAAAAACACTTTTAGCCTACATCCATGGGATCTGGTCCAGATTGAAGCTAATCCAGTATAACATAAACCATTACAAGACAATCTAGAGTTGAATTTAGATACGACAAAGTAAAACTTCCTGTTCTACGATACGCTAAACTTCACCCTCTGATTGCTTCAAAGTTTTGTCATGATCAACTTCCTCCAAGAATCCTCTTGGACAACTTGAGCTCCCCTCAAGCTTCAATGGTTGAAGCTTCCTTTCAACTCCTTGGCTTAACTCTCTTTAAGCTCATAAACAATGAGGAACCAAGTTTTTACACTCAAAGATCAAGAAGTGATTGACAAAGGTAAATCAGGAATAAAGAGAACCTAAAAAAATGTACTCTGAATATTTTAGATCATCAATGGAAGTTTAGAATATCAGGTTTGAAAAGAAACGCAAGGAAGAAGTTGATCAATTTATATCCTTGCACTTCTTCATCTCCACCTTACAAGCTACTTTTCAATAAGGACCCTTGGATCACTCTTTTGAAAGAATAACACTTGTAAAGTGACAAAGCAATGCAAATATCATGCATAAAAATAAAACTTGATAATCAAGAAAGAAAAGTGCCACCTACATTGGGAAATGAAATGCTTGCACATCAGAAAAATGTGTCCACATATTTTGTTCAATCACAATCAAAGAAAACAAAGAATATGCGTGCACATTCACATGATATTACCACATGCACAAACCAACAAAAGAATTCACAATTGTGCTTAAGTACAAACACGCACACAAAGTTCATAAGTCGACAATAAGACTTTATAGTTATGTTCATTATTGTGATGGAAAACTCTCACTTTTATCGTGGAAAACTCGTCAAGGTGAAGATTATTGGGATATTTGTGACTCGCTTTCCTATTTGTTCCCAAGTGAAATTGTATATTTTTAAGAAAACTATTTAATAAAGAATATAACTGTAAATATGAATTGAATTTAGGAATCCTATTAAGAATTGATATATGAATCCTATTAGAAATAGAATATCCCAGATCCTATATATAAATATAAGGGTGAGAATCAATTCAATATTATGAGAGAATGTGAGAACACAAGCTATTTAATGTAAAAGTT